ATGTCTGGAGGTGTAGGCACCTCGGAATGATTGTGTTAAGCTAGCACTAAGTCCCTCCCCCATCCACCTTTATTCTTTTCTTTACAATAAGGCTTTCAAATAAGTCATGGTTGTACGGCAGTGAAGCATCGGTGTTGAACACTGACGTCATGCTGTCGATGATGATGATGATTTCGAACAACAAAGCAGTCTCCCATTAACTGGGAGGGTGTTAGGACTGGGTGGACGATCGCGCAACTCTGTATCGTTCCCTTGGCTTCCTGCTCCACCCACTATGGTATATCAAAAGGTATGGTAGCTCTACACAGCCCTTTATGGAGACAGAAGAATCATTACAATTGTATTTATAGGTTAGTCGCAGAGTGTTCCACAAGGTCGTGCCAGAATCTCCGTGAGGGGGCGAGAAGCGTCGAGTCCAAGGTGTTTGACTCGGATTGGCTGGCATTCTGACAAATCAGGGTATGCCTTCGTTTGGTCCGCGTCCTGCACGTGTCATTTTCGTCCAAATGATGTGGTGTTCGGTTATTAAGGGCGGGTGGCCTCCGTACAGATAGACATCTTAAAAGTGCACAGCCAACTGGAGGCACGTGTGCTGTCTACGGTCAGTCGTTCCACACTGAGGTCAACAACGGAAAATCCCCGGTTTGTATGTTACGGGAGCGTCTGGTTAACTATGGTATAGCAACGTCCAGTAAAGCATCGCTGTTGATGTCCTGCTGTGTGTGTGTTGAGTAGCGTTCGAATGGAAAACCGAATAAAATATCATCTAGGGTCATTATCACGGGAAGTGCGAGGTTGTATTTCCCCGGAGAATTCTACGCTCATCCTAGGGATACTGGTCTTGCAAGCAACGCGATATGCACTATTCTACGGTAGTTGGTCCGCTCTCATCTGACCTCACTTACAGGCAGTCCACTGAACATATCAGAGTTCGCAAGAATTAACAAAGTGGGAATCAATGTTGCGGAGACGAGAGTAAGAACACTTCAACAAATGTCGGTAGCTCAGGTAGCGTAGACGGTGATCGTTGGCTTGTTTGCTGAGCTGGGCAATTTGATTGCAAACGTTTCATCACCAATCGAGGTGACGTCATCAGTGCGTTATTGTGGAGCGTAGTTGTGCGTAGCGGTGAGTTGGTGGTTGTGCCGCTACGCACTACTACGCTCTACAATAACGCACTGCTGACGTCACCTCGATTGGTGATGAAACGTTTGCAATCAAATTGCCCAGCTCAGCAAACAAGCCAACGATCACCGTCTATCAACAAATCCCTCACACACCAAGGGTCTACACAACCTGAAAGTGTTTCAGTTAGTTCTACCTCAACTGCCGAAACGCATAAACACAAATTGGAGTACTCACCTCCACCAGAACCAACAGTTGACTTTGGTTGACCATTAAACAACCAGTAGGGTGTGACGAGTGGGTCGGATGTGTTACAGCGGAATTCGGCTCTTCCACCAAGTGCGTCCAGGATTACATCCTGCGGTTGAGTGATCAGACGGAGTTGGGCTACAATCCGGTTGGAGAAAGAGAGATTTGCAAACGGGAGAATCGGCAACTTGAAAAAAAAACAGGCTGCGCTGTGACATTTGCATCGTTCAGGTAAGCTACACCACCAATCGGTGCAACTGTCAAATTCACAAGCCTAGCGCACATACACACGTCAAACGTTACGACTTGCCTGGTGTGACATTTTTCAAAGAAACATGTGTTGAGGAAATTAAACTGTCTACACGGCAGCCGTTACCTTTATTGGGACGGTTTAGATGGGGAAAAACAGCAGCATTTTGTCAAAAAAAATGAATCATGAGGTGCAAATAAGTGGAATAAATATATAAGGCGACAACAACTCACGTTTCACATGCAACTGGGCTGCGTAAGTCATGCGCTGATCAGTACAAAGATAGACACCAGAGTCCCTGAGTTGTACGTCCGTGATTTGTAACAGACCTGAATGAAGATGAAATGAGCAATAAGGGTATAAAGGGTATGGAGTGCACTCCAGGATGATACGTCAAACCTCACTGAGAATGTAACACTCTTGAAGGTTTGCTACTGAAATAAATGTTGGTAGCTCAGGTTGTGTAGATGCTGATTGCTTGGTAATTTCATTGCAAACATTTCGTCATCCGATGTGGTGACATCGGCGTTGTGGACGTGTTGAGTAATCTTATCTGCATGTTTATGCATGTCTAGTCGACTGGGGATGATCTTTGGCTGTGATTGGCCGTTCAGGGGGTCGATCCTGTGGGCTAGTTAGCCCGTTCTCCAATTAGTCAACGTTCAGATTTCCTTTGACTTTGATCGCTGCGAGCTCTGTCCTGATGATTTCCCGGATCCCACGTTTGTCGACCGATTTGTTGAATCTCCTTCAGTCATCTGATTAGGTTGACGATCTGTCGCTAGCGCTGGTGCGTAAATCGGACCGATTTCTATTTGCCAGTTATCCAAACGTCGACCGATAAGAGAACGGGCCAACTGACCATCCGAACAGCTAATCATAACCCAAAATCATTCCTGGCCAACAAGACGTATAGATACACAACGATACAATGCTAATCAACTGCGCAGTGATGATGTCACCTCAACAAGTGACGAGTTGTTTGAAACCAGATTGTCAAGCTCAACGTACAGAACATCTGCCAACTCAACCAACATCAATCAATACGTTGCTTTATCGGACTACAAAACAAGCCAGAATACGAGCATTCTCTACCCTTACGATATGTGTTTGGCATCTTCACAACTTCAAAATAGATTACCCAGAAAGACCGCAATTCCATGTCAAAGGGTACTGGTGTCGAACACCTCCATACCACATAGCTCCGCCTATCTAATTGGCGAACACCGACTGTCGTCTCGTAGCTCCACAATGTTCAACCCTAAACAGGGATATGATTTCGACCTAAGCTAACGGCACACCAGTTGAAGTTAAATAGGAATTAGCACGAAAATGTAGCGACTCCTGGCTCACACCCGGAAGGTGCAGGCCAACAATAGCACCAGATAGATGGTCTTTCGTGATGCTGTCCTATAACATGGTATGGAGCAAAAAAGAATGTCTCAGTTAAGACAGAGGTCTAAGAGGATGGCTGAGGTGTGAGAGAAAAGAGTATGATTAACAACACCTCCCCAACTACATCCACCATATACCACTTAGAAGACAAAGGCAGACCACATAAATAAGCCATTTCGAAGGTGAACAAGAAACGTCAGATAGGCCCCATGCTCCGAATGGGGGAGGGTTAACAGAGAGCAGGGTTGCACACAATGGTCCGTTTCACTACACATAAAACGGTCGGGCGCGAACTGGTTCATCAGTCCAGATGTGACAAATGCACGCGGGGTGGAACAGTGCTAACACGTCCGCCTCACGTGTCCCGTGACCGGTGTTCGTGTACTGGTACGAGAGAAGAGCTGCACTGCCTATAGGATCGAATAACAACCAAACTCAACTCCTATGCTTACCAATTAGTAGGGAGAGGATACTCAGGGAGGTAGGAGAGAGGACTGTTCAAACGAGACTGACAAGCGCACAGACGGTGTGACACTCGTATATATAATTTTAACGATTTGGGATAGTACGAATTAACACTTAAATGGAAGGGACAATGGTCCACGCCCAATCAAGCACATTTACCGTATTCAGTTTCGATCAATCCAAGTCGTGCTGTGTAGCTGTTTACATGTAAAAAAATTCACTTAGACGGGCTCAAACGAGTATGAGGAAAGTAAAGTAAGGAAAAAGAAAAGATGTGACACAACGGTGAGCTGGCAGACTCATTGAATGCGATCAACTAACTTATGGGACCACCAACTATGATAGCAAGTCTATTCAATCCCACCCTTTCAGTTACAATCGGACTGTGGTGGAGCGTACAAAGACCGGAATCGTGCAGCTATAGCACCCTTTCGGTGCCTAACTGCCATGCCACAAGAAGGAAGCATGAGGGCTGGGATACTGCCAGGTTGCCCAAGCCTAGACAGGGGAAGTGGAGAAGCAGAGGTCGCGTTCGAACCACGCACCTCCTGGTTAACAAATTCGCGCTCTAACCACCTGAGCCACCTTACCCCCTCAAAGACCGGGAATAACTTCTAAAAATTGAGGTAGGGCTGGATACATATGGAAAAACTTGGTTGATCTGAAGTGACAGAGCCATACCAAACAGTACAACAGACTGTTGAAGCAACCAAGTGTAGAATACTTCGATGTATTCGGGAAAGCCCACTCCGGTGACGCGCAAAATCACAAGCCAGAAATTGTGGATTCTTGAGATTTATCAAAAGGTGCGTACTACACGTATGAAATAGATGATAAAGGGGGTAGAAACCTCAAATTATGGGGGTTTCCGTCTAAACTGTTGCACAAGAAAGCCTGAAGAAGATAGCAAATCGATCTTAGTTTGCGACACACGCCTGGGCATAACACGTGGTAACGCAAAATGGTCAAAGAGCGCGCGTAAAGGATGGTTGACCAAATTGGTTCGACAAGTCATGGGCTAAAAGACGCAGTAGACAGCAACAGACAAGGAAAGAGTTTGACTGGGAGGAAAGGAAGTGCATCAGGATTGGGATCGCAGTTTGTGCCAAAGTCACGTAGTTCCGGTCGAGATGAAATCAATGTTGCGTAGGCAGAAGCAGGATTGACCTTGGATGCATCCGCACAGCATGAATTTAACAATTAGCCTCAGATTAAATTATGTGAGGTCAAACAGTTCATTTTCTGCTGGTAATAGCCGTGGTTGGTTCTCTCACAAATTTCAATGAATTGTTGTTGCAAATATAGGTGCCAGGAACGGTCATACCTTGAAAACTTGTGCACTATTTCAGAGTCTAAATTTAAACGTGGTGTGATAAAGCGAAAAATTGCTCCCACGTGAATAGATTCAGAAAAGGGTAAGATTATCTTATGAATGGAAAATCTGTTGGTATTTTGGCGGTTTAGCTTGAAAGAAAAAATCACTCCTGCAATGTTGCCCCAAATGTAATGTTAAGTGCCAAATAAAAAGTCGTACACGGGCACGTAAAGCACAGTAATCGTTACATATGTTGGCAAAAAAGCCTTTTCCTAACTAATGGTACCCGATCAAGGTCCCGAACTGACCACCTGTTCGTTGTACAGTGTGTCGATAAGCGGGCAAATGTATGATGCCGAACGGATTGTCACTCTCCAGTGAAACTCGTGTGCTTCCACCACTGGAAAGTTTTGATCGGATGGAAATAGTACCATTGCTATACGATTTTCCCATAAAAAAGCGAGTGCGAAACACGTATCAGCGGACAAATGGAGTGTTACTTGGTATCCACAATTTCCTGCAAGGTTTACGTCACCATCAAGTCAGTCGATCCCAGAAAATTCACCACCCTCCCTTTGCAGTGAACTGCTCCGCACGCTATCCGACGCACCGTTTGTTCCGGAAAACTAAACAACGGGTGCGAATTTCGCATTGGAAAAAACTTGGTCTAGAATGATCCGAAACTTCCACCTTTCAATCAGTTCTGGGAAAGATTACTGTGGGCCACACGAAATTCAGAGAGAAGGACTTTCAAGTATCTGTAGCCAACAGTTTTCAACTTCCCAGTCCAATAAGATCATTTGCGGACAGCAGAACCAGTGCTAAATTTGAGGGACTGCTTGACTGGAGGTTCGGTTTACACCAAAAGGACATATGAAAATTGATTTTTCTTCATCAACACGCTAGGGGCTAGATGGTTCAAGTGGTTAGCGCGCGAATTTACTGACCTCGATCTCTGCATCTCGACTTCCTCTGTCTAAGTTTGGGGAACCTGGCAGTATCCCAACCATCGTGCAACCTTCGGAAGGCATGGCAGCCAGGCACCGAAAGGGTGCTACAATTAAACGATCTTATTTTATTTTCATCAACACACGGATATGTATGTTGATAGCTTCAAACGACACATGAATGTGTCTTCAGTATTCTCCGTCAATTCACAGTCGCTTGAATGACCGGGGACTGGCGGACTTCCCCGGTAGTAGAGCTTCACCAGAGCCGCTGTGTCAAAATTTTACTGATAGACGTTCCTGAGATTTCCTCCATTAGAAACAGTCAATGTGATAGAACACCAATAGTTCTAGGTATACAAAACAAAATAACAGTTTCAGCCAAGATGAAAGTATCTTCTGGTCTGGTCTGAGGCCGTACCGTTCACATTTCTTTGCAGTGAATCGTTCACCACTTCTCCGGCTTTCCTATTCAGCTGGGTCTATCTGGGGATTCCGCAAAGAGCAACCTCCCCGTCAAACACCCAGTCTGCGATTGTGGAAATAAAAAAGAACCGTCCAGCTGCAGTAACCTTTCGGTGCCTAGTTGCCATGCCACCCATAGGGAGCACGGGATCTGGGATACTGCCAGGTCAAACAAGCCTACATAGGCGAAGTCGAGAGGCAGAGGTCTGGTTCAAACCACGAACCTCCCGGTTAGCAAATATGCGCTCTAACCACTCGAGCAATCTTGTGGTAAGGTTGATATTGTTTTCGCGTCTGTCCCAGGGCCGGCTGGAAACATCACAAACGAGGGATTCAGCTGGGTTCCAGGTGAGTCTCTCGAAAAACCAAATTAGTTTGGAAATCAGTGTATTTCGCTAATTTCGTGCAATTTCATTTCAAGTAGAACATAAAGCTGACGGAAACTCGGGGACTGTGCCTACCTAATGAGCTCCAAGAAGGGCGAAACGGTTCAGCTGTAGCACCCTTTCGTTGCCTAACTGCCATACTACCCGAAGGAAGCACGAAGACTGAGATACTGCCAGGTTACCCAAGCTTATGCACGGGAAGTCGAGAGGTAGAGGTCGGGTTCGAACCACGGACCTACCGGGCAGTAAATTCGCGCTCTACCCACTTGAGCCATCTCGCTCCAAAAAGGAAATAAATCATCTTGTGAAAACAACAGTAACTCATCGGATTCTTAAGAATGTGGAAAACTAGGATCCAGTGAGGTTGATCCGGCTAATTAGGCAATAAAAGTGCCTAGGCATGCTCAGAAATTGATGGAGCTGGGTAACTCCCAAACAAAGCCATGGTCAACCGTATAATCCCGTTTGGGGCCGTGAATTGATGATAGCCCCGCTTCATCATGCGTAGGCAAGAGAAGCGGCAAAAACGAGAACTAAATAGCATTTTCACGGCGATGGCTGAGAACTTTTCGCCAAATGTAGATTCAGAAGACGTGCATTTGTGGATATGGCCATGTACACCACTCAGCGCTAGTAATGTTGTGAGTGAGTCGACATCAGCACAGACAG